CATTAAACGTCAGAATGTTTGCTGGGTTTCCTTAGCAGGTTCGAATAACATAACTGTGTGACTTAAAACATCCTTCAGGGTTTCCCCAGAAAACTTGATAAGCCTGGTGGGCTGGACAATTAGAGTGGGGCGGGTAGTGGGGGCACGTTGTTGGAGGGGTAATCAAGAGTTTTTGTTCCACTCTATCGTTTCTCGTCAGTATCAGAGGAGGGGAGGCCCGCGGCTTGCTTCGCTGCCGTGTGTTGTCCGTCTCAGCGGAGAAGGTTGGGCCGAGGAGGGGGGGTGGGGACCACCTCACTTAGCCTGGCGGGTGACCAAGCAAAGCCTGGTTGCCCATGAGGCTTTTAGAGCACTGGGAGAAACCCTGCCTTTTATGCACATATTTTTCTGGTGAGTGAGTGAGGCTTGAGTGAGTTGTTGTTTTCCAGGCGCACATGGTACATGTAATTTAAGTTGTTACTGTGATTGGCTAAAGATGAAATATAGTAGCCGATGTCAGCCGGGCACGTCCTCCAATCAAATCAAAAATATTCTACCAGATAGCTCTCCCTTTTTAAGATGGTTTCTGCTGCAGAGATTTCAGATCGAATTCTGTAGACTCGACACGGGGCTACACATAGAGATCTGGCTGCTGCCATGTTAGGAATTACCCTGGAGTTCTGGTAATGGAAAAGAAGCCAAGAGATTGAATTGCACCACACAAAAAAATGTATATGTTTGCATGTAAATCATCAATAAAAATCTTTACACTGCTTTTATAGATCCAATATCTGAACACAAAATATTCAGTGTATTATTTTCCAACATCCCTACTTATATTAATATGTAATCGATGTACATTGGTTATCAGATATACCAGCAATGTGGATATCAAGTATTGATATCAGCCTGCATTTTCAAATAATTTTCACTCTCAGAAAACATTGTGTTGCATTATTGTGGGGCAATCAGTGCGACTTTAAGCCTACTGGAGGAAAATGACGTCCCCAAGTAAAACAGCCAAATCCCAAAGCCCAGTGAATAATTTATCATTGGAAAATGTCACATGAAGCCTTGTCCGACAGCACAAGATGGCAGCACAAAGAAACCAGAGCATTTCTGACTACTATTAATCAGCAGGAAAATGTTTTTGTGGCGTCAGTGAATAAAAACTAAATTAAACATTTTCTTCCACTGCATATGGGCTCACTTTGGATTTGTCAGGTCAAATCAATTTTAAATGTGAAATGTATGCCACTGTTGTGTAACAACAACACCTAGCATCCTGTAAAATGTATTTTCATTTACATTTATCCATTATTCACATCCCTGGTGGTTTCTGCCTTTTTTTTATTTAAGTTTAACCGATGTCAGCACTGGACTCGTTCTGAGCCTTGGAAAATGGGACATAATTGAAAGTGTTACTTGTTCCAAGTTTTACAGCTATAAACGACGTTTGTGGTTGGAAATTACTGATGTAACCATTGATGAATGCTAAATTGTGCTGTGTCTGCACACGAGGGTGAAAAGTTAATTATCGGTAAATGGGTGTTGGCAAGCTGGAATGTGGAAGATGCTTGTTGGGGAGAGTTGGGCTGAGGATCTTGGATCTTATTGGATCGGTGATTGGACAGAATGCAGCTTGCAAACGTTCAGCGATGTCCTCATCCACATGAGGAGTCCAACATGATTTGTGGTACTATCAATATATTGGACATCTAGATTGCTCTGAACTACAAGTCTACCACTACTATTACAAGTCTGGTAAAGTGTAAATTGTTACTTTCTCTAGTTTTAATGTTGAGATTTTAAAGAGAAATCAAATTATTCAGAAGCACGAGTCAATAGAGCCCTGCACGGGCCTAAAATCTGAGCCCGTGTCCGGCCCGGCCCGAGGGGGTGGAGCCCCAGCCCGACCCGGCCCGAAAAGGTTTTCAGGATTCTTTGGCCCGGCCCGAGCCCAAGCCCGACTTTTTTTAACCAACTAAATGAAAACAAAGTGCGTCAATCCTGACCAATGTGTTAAAGATGTGCAGGATCCGAGCGTCGCAGAAGCGCATGCGGGAAGCTTCCCACTGAAGCGAGTGTTTTCCAAACCCTGTCACTCAGAGAGACTTGTCACTAAGAAAATGTTCCCTGATTATGAAACTTTGGCTGAATAGCGCTTGTTCCTGTCTCCAATGTGCGACACATCCAGGAGCCGTCTGAGGAGAAGCCCAGAATCTCACATCCTCTTCAGCTCATGAGCGCATATGATTACGCACAAGCGTGACCCAACACGGTCTCACAGTAAGACTGGGTTGGAACTGTTCAGGTTTACGCAGACAATCTTCACATAGAATTGACTTACAGATATAAAATTAATTCAGTAAAATATAAAGCATTTTATTTAAATATCCATTCATTATTTTACAAGCACATCGGCAGATGGATGGAAGAGCCGCGGGTTGCCGATCCCTGCTCTAGTTCAAGATATCATTAAAATTCCAAAAGTGCTGAAAAGATAAAAAATTGGGCTTTCCGTGCATATACAATACATTATGGTAGCCACCGGGATTCCCTGTCTTGAGCGCAACGAATCACAACACAGATTCAGAGACGTGCAAGTTTGTCATCCAAAATGCTCTGTTTTATAACTTTTGAATGGTTGATCAGATTCAAATAAATCCAACGGTTCCTAAAAGTACATAAAAGCAGCTTTCCAACGATCTATAGCATGAAGCAATCAGAGTTAGAGAAAATATCGCTACGAGGGGAAATCCTGCTGTACAGCCTGATTGAAACGGAGCGCAGCGCTGCTGTGAAAGCGGATAACCTATAAAATGACATGTTGAGGATGCAAACTCAATACATCTCTTTTATTGTGAGGTAATAATTTCTCCGAGTTTTGCGGTTGCGGGCGGGAGTAGACATGCACGCTGCAGGTGCGGGCGGGAGTAGACATGCACGCTGCAGGTGCGGGCGGGAGTAGACATGCACGCTGCAGGTGCGGGCGGGAGTAGACATGCACGCTGCAGGTGCGGGCGGGAGTGTAACACACACGTTGCGGTTGCAGGCTGTAATGGTCAGAAATTCAGCGGGAGCGGAGCAGGATGAAGAAAACAGTCCCGCACAGGGCTCTACTGCTGCGTTTAAGTGTTTTAATTTTTTTAATGATTTCGAATAAAAATAAAGGCGCCCGGCCCGGCCCGTGTCCGTGGTAATTACACAGTCGTTGGCCCGAAGCCCGGCCCGAGGGCCGTCGGGCCGGGCCGACCCGAGGGCCTAGGGCTTCAGTGCAGGGCTCTACGAGTCAACTGTTTGGGAGGTAATGTTTGGATTCAGTGATATTAAGGACAGTTGGAGGCTATTGTATTATTGTAGGATCATTTTCACACAGCATTGCTGTCTGTATTTTCTGTCTTTTATTTTAACATTCATCCATCCATCCATTTTCTGCTTCTACAAAGTTGGGTGTGAGGGCAGTAAGCAGGGAGGCCCAGACTTTCCTCTCTCCAGTCACATGCGCTAGCTCCACCAGGGGAATCCTAAGACATTCCCTGGCCAGATGAGAAGCATAGTCCCTCCAACGTGTTCTGGGTCTTTCTTTAGGCCTCCTCCCAGTTGGACGTGCCCGGAAAAACTCCCTGGAGAGGCGTCCAGGAGACATCCTAACCAGATGCCCGAGCCACCTCAACTGGCTCCTCTTGACGAAGAGGGGCAGCGGGTCTACTCTGAGCCCCTCCCGGATGACCGAGCTTCTCACCCTATCTCTAAGGGAGAGTCCAGCCATCCTGCTGAGAAAACTCATTTTGGCCGCTTGTATCTGTGATCTCCTTAATTTAGTCACTACCCAAAGCTTGTGACCATAATTGAGAGTTGAGGGTTGGAACGTAGATCTGCTGATAAATTGAGAGCTTTGCGCTCAACAACAGTTTTTCACCCGTTCACTCACACATTCACACGCTGGTGATGATGATCTATAATGTAGCCACAGCTGCCCTGGGGCACACTGTCAATGGTGAGGCTACCATTCACTGGCACCACCGGTCCCTCCGACCACCACCAGCAAGTAAGGCAGGACACAACAGAAGCATTCACTGGTGGGTGCTGGGATCAGACCTGCAATCTTCCAATTACCGGACATCCTGCTCTGCCTCCTGATCTACTGCTGGCTCTGTGCATAAAAGTGCTTAAGTTGCTACATACACAGAGGCTGAAATAATTTACAAACCAACCAAAAACCGTTTTTATTTTGTGCCAGCTCAGCTTATTTCCGTTTTTTTTTTTAGAAACTCAGAGAAAAATCCGTTAAATTTCATGTGATTTCAAAACCCAGATGAACATTATTCTCTGAGAGCTCGAGCCGTGACTTTGAAATCCGGTGAGTCTCTGTATGCAGATGCTGGTTTCCACGCTGAGCTCCTCTGGCTAGTACTCAATAAATCACTTTCTTTATGCATTACCGCTAAGTTGCATCAGCAAACCTATTTTAAGTAAGTAATGTAATGCAATCTCGGTCAATAATAAAATTATATCTGCTATTTTTTCCCCCTGAAGCACTGCATGCTTAAAATTTCAATTGTGACGTTCCCAAAAAGTGATTCAACACTCGTGTATACATTCATAAATGCAGCTAAGGGTTTTAATTAAACAAAAATGTAAGCAATTATCACATAGCAGTCCACACTCATTACCACTCGGATATGTACAGATGGACTGTATCCCCTGTAGAAAATGGCCCAACAATGTGCAATTAGCTTGTTATGTGATAACTATTTTGCCATGTGTTGGGGGAAATATAAAGACATGTTTCCCTCTGCAGTTGATTCATCAGTAATTATGTTGTTCTACCTTTCAGTTTTACTTCAGCTTGTTTAGAAGCATTTATGGTGATAAATTACCTCCAATGCTGTTGTTGCATTGCAGTATTATGATGTTGGATAATTTCATGTCTTCTTGCCAAATGTCACCATGTTGAACATGACTTGCTTGGTGTCTAGATAACAAACTGATTTTTTTTTCTTTTCTTTTCTCCAAAGGGTTGACATCCTCGGTAATTGGCATCTCCCAGTTCCGGTTGTGTTGCCGCCATGGGCTGCTGGGATCCGTCCTCTGTCCTGTCGCCTGCCTTGAGGCTAGCAGTTGTTGCTGTGATTTTCCTCCTCAACCTCCATCCCATGTTGGCCGGCACTCCTCCTGAGCCAAGCTTGGGCAGCTCTGTTTCAGCCGTGTCCACAAATAAGTCTGAATGCAGCAAGGCTGAACAGTGTGTGAAGGGGGTGATGCTCCCTGTTTGGGAGCCCCAGAACCCGTCGTCTGGAGACAAGGTTGCTCGGGCTACGGTATACTTTGTGGCTCTGGTGTACATGTTCCTTGGTGTGTCAATCATCGCAGACCGTTTCATGGCATCGATAGAGGTGATCACGTCACAGGAAAAAGAAATCACCATTAAGAAACCCAACGGAGAAACCACAACAACTACGGTTCGGATCTGGAATGAGACTGTGTCCAATCTCACCCTCATGGCTCTGGGATCCTCGGCTCCTGAAATCCTTCTCTCGGTCATAGAAGTCATAGGTCATGGGTTCGACGCTGGCACACTGGGTCCTTCCACCATCGTGGGTTCTGCAGCTTTCAACATGTTTGTCATCATTGGGCTCTGCGTCTACGTTGTGCCTGACGGAGAGACGAGGAAAGTCAAGCACCTCCGCGTCTTTTTTGTCACAGCTACCTGGAGTATCTTTGCCTACATTTGGCTCTACCTGATCCTGTCCGTGATCTCCCCTGGAGTTGTACAAGTGTGGGAGGCTCTGCTCACTTTCCTCTTCTTTCCCATCTGCGTGGTGTTTGCCTGGGTGGCTGACCGCCGCCTGCTCTTCTACAAGTACGTCTACAAGCGTTACCGCACTGGCAAGCAGCGTGGCATGATCATCGAGACAGAGGGCAATCGTCCACTTCCGTCCAAGGTAACCTCATGGAAAACACAACTATTAAAAATCTAATCTGTTCAATTGAGCCAGTTGGATAGTTGCAAGAGTACACTCTTTACCCTAGAACAGGGGTATTCAATTCTGGTCCTAGAGGGCTGGTATCTAGCACGTTTTAGTGGTTTCTCTGTTCCAACACAGTAGATTGAGTAGTTGAATCATCTGTGCAGCAGTTGATCAGACTCTGCAGAAGACTGCTAATGACCTGCTGATTGAAAGCAGGTGTGTTGAAACAGTAATTTACAAGACCTACTGGATACTGGCCCTCCAGGCCTCGAATTGAATACAGCATTTGTGCAGGATTTTACAAAATATCTCAAAAGGTTCTGCTGGGTTTTCAATATCTTCATGCTTCAGGGTGTTGCTGCAATTTTAACATGTTAAAAATGTTAGGACATTTCTTTCTCCTATAGTCACAAGTTTGTGGGTAACACATGCTATATTTATCACAATTGTGGTATTATTGATTGGGAATGGGTAAATCAAAGTGTATAGTTACATTACTGCAAACACACAAATAGCTTTTCAAGTAATCCTACCTTTTAATTTCCTGCTCTGACCTCTATCAAATGCGGTTTGATGATGCACTCCATTTGCTTGATCTAATTAAGTTTTCTCTGTTGTTGTGGACTGCATTTATTTCCCCCTCAGAATTCAGACCTTCGGTGTCTGTCTTCTAAATTTGGAAACTGCTCATGTAATAATTCTGTGTGTTTTACTTTGATGAGCTTATTAGAAATTGCTGCTCCATTCACACATGAAGAATGCTTTCATTTTTAGCTTGCGGTGAGCAAAATTCACTGAAATGAATCCAACAGTATTCCAGAGAGAAGAACATAATCACTGCCATCTCGCTTAAAGTACTAAAAGACACTTGATCAATAACATCTTTCTCAAAGGGAAACTTAAAAACGCTCAGTCTGGGCAGCCTCTTTCCTCCATTAGCTTCCACATAAAGTGCTAGTGCAGAGGGTGACTAAAAAAACAAGCATTTACCTTGGGTTTACGTTAGATGAAATTAACTTAACAAAGGGGTCGTCATTAAATTAGACATAAAAACCAAGGGCAGGACCAAGAACACACTTGTGCTGATGTTAAAATACAACATGATCACCATTATGAAAAATGTACTCCCTTCCAGTTGTGCTTCATTCCTGCTGTTGAACTGAGGTCTTGTTTCAGTCTTTACATATTAAATTACTTTACCGTTTAAAGGTGTGTTTGACAGAAAAACATTTGTTTTTCTGATTATAATCAGCCAGAATTTTTCATGCAGGCTGAAGAAAAAATAGTCTGCTACACCTATCTCCTGCAAAAGCTACTGGTAGAAAATAGAAAATGAAAATCCTCACAGATCTAAGTCACGCCGTCCTGGACTCACCCATCTTGACTCACGATGTGGACAGTTGTTGTTTTAATGTCCAGCAAACAGCAAAAAACATCTGGGCTAGTTTAAGCTAACCGTTAGCATTAGCAACACATCACGACAGAAGTTCCTTCAGGCGTGTTATTTGTGGTAATAAATCCACGTTGCAAATGAGTGGTAGAGTCACGTTACTGTTACCCAATCTGGAAAGAGATGTCCAAATATCAGGAAATGAAACCCCAAAACCTGCCGTCTGAGACGCAGCTGTGATGTGAGCAACTTTTAGGTCCAAGAAAGGTACACTGGTATATTTCTTACCCCAAAAACTGACTTTAAGACATTAATTCTTACTAGAGACTGCAAATGTTATGATTAAACAAATAATCTACGCCTTTAAGGTGGACATTGAGATGGACGGGAAGATGCTGAACTCCCATGGTGTTGACTTTCTGGATGGTCCTCTTGGCTTGGATCTGGATGAGAAGGATCTGGATGAGGAGGAGACTCGCAGAGACATGGCCAAAATCCTGAAGGAGCTCAAACAGAAACACCCCGACAAGGAGGTTAGTAATAAGTTAAAAATGGCACAATGTTACTCCTGACTGTTGGTGTTGTGTTTCTTACATTTGTAGAAAATACAATGACAGTTATTAACAAGTGGGGATTTAGTGAGAGATTCATCTAGGCTTTTTGTTTTCGTTTAGAAACAGATAAATGAAAAAAGGCTGTATGTGGGTGAGATTAGCTAAATGTTGCATGATTAGAACATTTGTCGTAATGTTGCTGTTTTATGCAGGAAGCCCATCTGTAAAAACCAGCTTACTATATTTGATTTGTATGCATGTAAACTTCATCACAAGCACCGTAAGTGAAGCGGACATGTTCATTTAATCATGCCTGTTGGCAACCTTATTCCAAGCTAAACAACTTTGATTAGCTGATCTGATCATACTCCGTGATCACTTTATCTGCAACAGTGAATGCAACAAATTAACTAAGGAGCTTAATTGGATATAACATGTAAAAGTTTGAAATTAAAGACATCAATATGAGGAGTGCTGCTGCTTTTAAACAACATCAAGAGTGACTACAGCAACATTTTTCCTTGTTCCCATATGATTACAAAGAATGTAGTTTTGTGTCTAAAGATGTAAACAAATGGAAAAGTAAATACAGACAGTTTTCTTATGACAAAGTTGAGGCCTAGGCTGTATGCAGGCTGCAGTAAAATCAAATTTGTTTCTCAAATCAGATCTGGAGAACAGACTGCATGCTCTGATCTTTCAAAGGTGTCATATTTATTTAGTCAACATCACCCCTTTGTGACTTTGACAAAAATGTCGTCTGCATCTTCAAAAACACAGCTGTGACAGAGTTCCTGCTGGTTGTTGTAGTTCTAGAAGGACATTAGCTGTTACTAAACTCTTCTCTGTATTGTTGGACTCCCTTTTCTGTCCATTCTCTGGTGTCTGGTCTACTTTACTCCCAGGTGTTCTAGTTATTCTGGACTTGATCATTTCATTTAGATCTTTAAAGGGGCATCATGGAAGTTTGACAGCCAAAACATGTATAGAAATAATAAATTTCTTCTTCATACATTCTCCTGCAATGCCCTGGTCCTGTAGAATGAGCCCTGGCATTTTTACTGTGATTGCCTGTTTTTCCGTAAAATCACAGAAAAAGAGTTGCTCGGGTCGGGCAGGCTGCTTCATGCGTGTTCACGCTCAGGCAAAGCATTTGCTATCCATAGCTTTAGCAGCAGAGAGGGAGTGCCAACTCAGCGACTTTGTCGCTGTTCCTAACGCCTAGTGACGAACCTAGCTACATTTCAGAGAACCCTTAGCTACTTTCTGTAGAACTTTCTTCTAGATATTTCCTGCAAATTAGCAACAAAATAGCCATTTTCGCTTCGAACTGTTCTTTGGTTTGACGTTGTTTCAGCTGTCATCAAGGATATAAATGTTACAGATACAATGCATGTCACTGGCGCTTTAGCTCACCTTGTAAGATGTCTGACTTCCATGCAGAAGACCTGGGTTTGATTCTGGGTGGGAACATAGTTCATTTAGAGCTTCTTTTTTACATGAATGGTATATTTTTTTGCAGTAAGATGCCCACATTTTTATTTGAGACTCGCAGAACGGCATTGAATTCACAGATAAAAAAGATGTGGGTTCAACTTTCATTTTGGAGCAATTTTTCAAGCAAGGGAAAGTAATGATCTGAGCATGCAGGAGGACTGACCCATCTTAAACCTTTGTCGGTTGTGTTGAAGAGAAAGGTACAGAACCAAATTGTTTAAATAATTAGCTGCGTGTTCTCCTGTACTCTGTCCTCAGGGCTTTACACACACGGGACTGTCTCAGCTGTTATTTTCGTTAAGGAGAGTGCACGTACAGCATGTGCGCCTCGTGCACGAGCCTACTATTGAAACTGCCGTTACACTTTTGGCCTGAGGGGGCAATCGCGAGCATAAAATTTCAAAAGTCCGTAAAGTCCCTTTAAAGAAACAATGTGCAGGGGCGCCCCCAGAAAATTTTGATAAGGGTGGCCAGGTGGCACCCCAAATTGGTCCTTGTGGTAACTTTGCGAGAGTTTAGCCTGTGGAGATGTATTGAATTGCTCCTTTATTATTTTTTAATCAGAAACAATATATATCCAAAACCCTTAACTCAAATTTGAGAAACACCGACATTTCAGAAAAAAGAATTTCAGTTAATTCTATTGTAATTTAAACATTTGTTTTAGAATTTAATTTTTTAGTTTAATTCACCTGCTGCTGTCTTCACAAAAAAACTATGGACATATAAAAAAAAATTTAATAGCGAGCAGCAGAAACGTATATCATTTTTAAAATTCTAGTTATTTCTTTACTCAATTATTGTATTTTTTTTCATTGGGCTTTATATTTTTGTCCTGAATAAATAAGATGAATTAATGGTTTCAGTGAACATTATTATGAATAACACTGGACTTCCCTGAGGGGGGGCAGCAATTTTCCAGGGGTGGCCATGGACACCCCGTGGGGCGCCACTGACGACGTGTCATTTTTACTTTTAATCTCTGGAAACATCGATCAAAAAGCTGTTGAAAATGAATTAAATGATGCCCACTTGTTGAAAAATCTTGTTGGCTTTTTAACATATGATTATAAAAATCAGGCAGGTCTAAGTCCCATATTAGATGCAATGTTTTCTTCTACAGGAGCCCTTGAGGACAAATCACATCAACTGATTTGTAACAAGCGGTTACATTCATAAACATTGTTTTACACATTTAACTTTTCACTTGTTGCCAGTGATGAAAGTGCTGGAGGTTGAACGATCTAATAAAGTACTTGTTCGAAAAATGCGCTCCCAGGGATTTTTGACACTAATAGCCATTTGTTGGTGAGGTCTTCCTCGAACACAAAAATACAGCTTGTTTGCGATGATTTTGGTATGTACTGCCCCCTATCGCCAGTGAAGATACACACTGTCACTTTTTTAGGATTTTGTTGCTGGTAGATTTTTATTTTCATTTAGAATATTTTCAGAGTCTTGTCAGTCAAGGTCAAGTTGTCCAAGTGATATAGAATGTATGTAACTTCATGGCAGGATGGTAACGTTTATTAAAACATTATCATTTTTACTGATGTTAAACAACCTTTTCCCCATAACTGTACTAGTGTGCAAGTTTTAATGCCTTTTAATGTTTTATGTCACTAGGTGGAACAACTCATTGAACTTGCCAACTACCAAGTCCTGAGCCAGCAGCAGAAAAGTCGAGCTTTCTATCGATGCCAGGCCACCCGACTAATGACAGGCGCTGGCAACATTCTGAAAAAGCATGCTGCCGATCAGGCCCGAAAGGCTGTCAGCATTCACGAGGTTCGCTCCGATGTTGGTGATAATGATCCCATCTCCAAGATCCTTTTTGAGCCTGGTTCCTACCAGTGTCTTGAGAATTGTGGCACCGTGGCTGTGAATGTGGTGCGAAGAGGTGGCGACCTTGGCAAAACGCTTTCCGTGGAGTACCGAACAGAAGACGGCACAGCCAACGCTGGCTCTGACTATGAGTTCACGGAAGGTGTAGTGGTGTTCAAGCCTGGCGAGACCATGAAGGAGATTCGTGTGGGCATCATCGATGACGACATATTTGAGGAGGATGAAAACTTCCTAATTCACCTTTCTAACGTGAAAGTGTTGGCATCAGAAGGTGAGGAGCACGAGGAAGGCGAGTCGGCGAATCACGTGGACTCTGTGGCTTGTCTTGGCATACCCGCCACGGCAACCGTGACCATATTTGATGACGACCACGCTGGTATCTTTACATTTGAGGAACCAGTTTGCCATGTCAGTGAAAGCGTTGGCACTATGGAGGTGAAGGTGCTGAGGACATCTGGAGCTCGCGGCGTGGTCATGCTGCCATACAAAACAATCGAGGGAACAGCACGAGGTGGTGGAGAGGACTTTGAAGACTCTCATGGTGTCCTGGAGTTTCAAAATGACGAAATCTTGTGAGTAGATTTTTTTTTCCCCAATTGAAGCTAACAACCGTATACATCAAGCTATTTTTGAGTTTCATAGCCTCTATTGTCATTGATTTTGTATTTTATTGAATAGATAAGCAATGAGGGTATTATTTCATATTTTATTAACGACATGAGGCACGGGTGTTGGTGTGATGTGGTGGTCACAGCAAGCAGTGTTCCCCTCAAACATCCCCTCAATCTGTTTGCTTCTCACTTTCTCTCTCCTGTTTATTCTCATTTATGAGCATTAACCTGCTCATTCCTGTTATTTGTGATTCTGTCATGCTGCTGCTTTAGACGTCCTGTGGGTTGGTATTGATTTCTGCTCTTTGTATTTCTGTACATTCAGCAAAATACGTTTAGCGTCCGAGTTTCCACCAGCATTGGAAAGTGAAATTATGGGTTGGATGACTGGGGTTTGAATTTTAATTATATGTGATGTCAAATTATAGAATTTGAAGACGAGCGTAGTTTCTTTGAGTGAGATATGTAATGGAAAAAGGGTAGTTGCTGGTTGCTGGAAATGATTCAAGAATTTTAACAGTGGGATATAATGAAATGCTCAGAAAGGACACACATTTCGTCAAGTTCATTTGAAAGCACAAAAGCCTTTAAAGAGAAATATCTTGTTGCCCTTTTGGGAGCTTTTATCCTGTGTGGGAACATTCCAGAGCAACTAATCGTAACCTGCAAGAGGCTTTTTGTTGTGTCTCTTAAGTGAAAGGGTGTTGAACCTAAATTAACTTTCCCTGCTGTGAAATGATGAAATTTCTGTTCAAAGCTTTACTCAACCAACTACATGTTAGATGGTGACTCATGGTGAGTCTTGTGATTTCTATTTGACCACATTTCAGGAGGCATTTTGCTTCAGTGACCATTTGCTCTAGCAGTTGTACTATTCTGATCTAGTTTGAGTGTGGGAAGTTTGCTGTAGAAGTCGGTCTATGAGGTTCTGAGGATATGCTGGGTAAAATGGGCAGGAGTGATAAATCTGTATTTGATATATTAATATTGACCATTAAGGTGGCAAAACAAATATTAAAGAGCAAGTCACCCCAAAATCAACTTTTTTACTGATAAACTATATAAATGACAGTCTAATCGTGCTGTATACACGTAATCAATAATTTGGCACTTTAGTGCTTCTTAGTTAAAATTCAAATATTCTGCCTAAAACTGTCAGTGTTGCGCCATCATCAGGTAAAAACTCTGCACTATATTTGAATTTTAATCTGCTATCACTATTGGCTAAGAGGTACCCTGTGACTGGTACCATATAATGTCACAATGTTGCTATCAAGTACAGATATTGGGAAAACCTGTGATATGCGATAACGGTGATTAATATTGCGATGACGATATTACTTGCGATAAATAAAACTAACTCAGGAACAAAATTAATCAAAAACAAAGAAATAAAAAAATGACAAATGTCATAATAATGAGAAAAACCTAAGATGTGAGGAAAGGGAAAAGAAAATGAACAAGGCAATCAGTGGATCCCGGGAAAAGCATAATCAGCAGAAAGAGCAGAACAAAGCTAACCTAGGTGTTTGCTAACCATCAAAATTAAGTGTCGGGGGAAGCATCTAACTTCTGAGAACCCACCCAATTGGCCAAATGGGTGAAGAGCTCTATTTGATTAAAAAAAACATCATGCTTCCGTTTGATTGACAGAATGCATTATGTGTAGCAAACATCTGAGCTGACCATTCATTGCGATATTTATCTGTTCTTTGTGATATGCATATTGTGTATTCTGATATCATGATAACAATCTATTTGCGATATATTATGCAGCCCTACTGTGTGTGTGTATTTGTTAGCGACTCCTCCCTCTCGGTATGCCAGGCAATGCCTCCTTGTGGCACATTTTTCAAACAGGAAATGGGGGTTGAGTTAGACTGGTAGGAGTGACTTGCTTTTGAACAGACTAAGACCACACTTTTTCTCTCTAAGTACATTTGCATACTTACTGGTACAGAGAATCAATGCAAGTACTTATAACTGCTGTCAGAATTGTTTTATCTTATGCAACGTCTTCAGTGTTTGCTGCAAAAACGTTGTCCTGCACCTGTCATTAGCAAACTCGGAACTCAACCTTGTGTTCGGTGTTGCATTGACACATTTTTTAAATGTAGCTTTTGGTCAATGATCGGTCTTTTATGCTGTGACTCTCTTCTGTTTTTACTGACTTCTCTTTTTATTGGCTGTTCCAAACGTTTGCATTGATTTTTAGGTGTTTCTATTTTATGTCAGTTTTTATCTGTGTTTGATGTGTATGTATGTGAATTTGAATGGCTTTTTAGGTTTAACTCTGTACAGTGCTTTGGTCAGCTGGCATGCTGTTTTTAAATGCGCTATATAAATAAAATTGGATTGGATATATTTTGTTTTGAAAGTGTAAATGTAGTTAACGTTAGTCAGCACTGTCCATTTTGCTCAGCTAAGAGGTGACTGATCTGTCACAATGCTGTAAAGTGGTTGAAGGTACTGTAATATCGGAATGGTCGTGAGCAGAAATACGAGTACACACAATACTAGAATCGGTGCATATCTGATAGTGTTGTTTTATGTATATCAGCTTTATTATTAGCAATTTCAGACATTAGTCATTTAAATAAGCCACGTTAAGGTTTACTGAGTATCTTTTTTAAGATGGGAGAAATTGGTTTCTCAGAAAAGATAGATGAGGCTGTGAATGTTTCTTGTGTGCAAAAATTAACATTTACTGTCAAACACTCAGTCAGATGTATTGTTGATGTCTGCACAGATTAGAGTTTGAAGGGAAATCTTTGTGTTGCAGCCTGTAGGCCTGATCAGCCAGCAGATTTTGCAGCGATACAATGAACTTCACAGCTGTCAGTAGTTATTTGTCTTAGTTTAGGCTGCATAACTGAACAGAGAACATCGTCCAATGAGAGAATCATTGGACGATTAAAATACTTGATATCCAATCCAATCAGATTATTCCAGCATCAGAAGTGTTTGCATTTGCAGTATCCTAAGGGAGGATTGAAGTCCATAGTAGTACCTGGAGAATATGGTCTGACTTACTCCTGCTGACAGAAACCCATGCTCTGTGGCATAGTTTAGCTAGCAAGCATGGTTACTACTAACATGATCAGGGCTGGACTGGGACAAAAATTCAGCCCGGGCATTTTGACTGGAGACCGGCCCATCACCTGTTTTTTTTTGGAAAAGACATTAAGCCTTATGCTGTTTCTGACACACACCAACGTACACTTTCTTATTGGTAGTATTTATGTATCAATCTAATAAACGTAAACCTACACCATCCTTCCTATCCTGGTATTCTAAAAAGTAGGGTTGGGGGTAACTGATTATTTTTAAAATGATTATTCTGACGATTATTTTATCGAATAGTCGACTATTCTAATGACTATTTAGATGATTAATCTAGCGATTACTTTTCTATTGCACAATTAATAAAAACCAAAAAATTCTCAAATAAATTCCTCCAAAAAATTGATAAGTTGTTACTGTAAGAGAATAAACACTACAGGCCTTCCATTTTGTATAACACTGCTTTTATTGTGTTGCGGTTGTTTATGTTCTGGTGACGTGTAGAACTTGGGAGTGCAGGCTGCTGCCTGAGAGGTGGTTGGAGACGGAGTGTCTCCATGCTGCTTTGTTTTGTTCACTTATGTGCGTGAGGCAAGTGGTGTTACGACCCTTCCTGGGGAGTCACGTGTTTCTCCTATTTTAACTGTAAATCCTTCTAGCTGTTATATTTATAACAAGAAACAGATATTCGGACAGAATATTTTCACGTTTATTCGAATATGATTGTGGAACACACCCAGCATCATAATACATGAAGTAATATTTATGCCAATTTAAGCCTTTATGGGTGACCAGGACTCTGTGTTTATGAATGTGGAAGACACCCAGCATCCTGTGATGGCACTAATAACATCAAGAGATAATAAATAAGGTAATATTTAGGTCAATTTAACCCTTTACACGTGACCAGGACACTGTAATCAATTTTTGGCAAGGGAAATGATCATTTGTTGCCATTTTTGAGGTGTTTATGAATGTGAAAGACACCGGCATCCTGTGATGGCACTAATAACATCAAGAGATAATAAATAAAGTAATATTTAGGTAAATGTAACCCTTTACAGGTGACCAGGACACTGTAATCAATTTTTGGCAAGGGAAATTATCTTCTTTTTTTTTTCTTTTTTTTTTTTGCCATTTTTGGGGTGTTTTTGATGACACAGTAGGCAGTATGAGTACAGTAACGTCAACAGATAATACATAAAACCCTTATTTGGTCAATTTTAGCCTCCATGAAAATCTTAGCGATTCAATCACTTTTTGGCAAGTAAAATGCCATTTTAGTTGTCTACAATTAAATCATCAATAAAGAATTTAAAGATATTTTGAGGCATTTCTTATAGGTAAACGGGAGGGTGTAGTCTATTTGGCAAGTGACAATCTTGATTTTATGTGCTGAAGTGCTTTTATCTTGTTACTTTTAAATAGAGCAACGTAATGAATAGCAACCTACACAGTGTCATTGTAAAGCCAAAGCTTGATCATTTTAAATACTTTTTTTCAAGTAAAAATGTGCCCCAAACTAGTTAACTGTGGCTCCATGTCAAGTGGACTAAAGAAAAGAAGGGGGAAAAATTAAATCGCTGGAGAATTGTTTATTTCCATTTATACAACGTTTACATTCAATACAGGGTGCCATTTTACATTGTTTATTTATTTTTTTAGTATCAAGGCTGTAACATAAAGAAAGCCAGTTCTTACCACAAAGTTTGTGGCACAAACCATCTTTCAATCGCAAATATTGCAAAAAGGATTAATATATCCTCATTGTGAACGTTTAAGACAAATAGCAACACTTAAAACAACTTCCGAACTGGAAAAACTAATGTGGCAAGGTGCAGAAAGGAATGCCCGGGCGGGATTCGATCCCCAGACTCCCGGGAGAGAGTCATACGCTC